GTTGTGTTCTTTCCCGTCCCTGCTGCACCTTAATTCCTCGATGCATTGAAAGGTCAGTGAGCTAAACAGTAATAAACTCACAGGGTGATAGAGTGAGGGATAAAAGAGGGAAACAATGGCCACCGAGTGTGAGCTTATATGTCAAAAAATACATATATTACCAGTGTATTCAAATCAAGAGTAATTTATAAAGGCAGGTGCTGGTAGGAGCAGCTTTATTGCCGGCCTATAGCAGAATGCTCCTGTGTGCTGAGGGGCCTGCGAGATGCTCTGGCTCCTTCCCAGACAACGTGGGGAGTGTTCGACCTGCAGCCAGGGGGCTGCTGCTGACGAGCCACGTGTCTCACTGGTGACAGAGTTCATCAGTTTTGCAGGCCCCTGCCCCCAGGGACACCAGACACTATTAGTTGTGCTGATCTGCTTCATATAGTTCATAAGGAAAGCTCCGAATTAACACACAGCTTAATTCTTGTTAGAATTAGCTAATCAACCCGTGGCTTTGCCATTCAAATGAATGATGTGTCTCACTGAGGGGCAGGATAAATGTTGTGTCCCCACACACACTCTGTCATCCCTCTGCCTGTGGGTGTCCGCGGCTCCTGCGCTCCGGATGGGATGCTCTGGATGTGGGAGCACGTGTGGGATGAGCACAGAGTGCCACCCCTGTGCCACCAGCCCCCGAGCGCGCTGCCTCGCGTGCCAGACACCTGAGTGCCTTTGTCACTGTCCCCATGGCCGAGCTTCCTCCTGTGCTCCAGGCCCTGAGTGCTCCTGCGCCTCAGTGCAGCCTCAGCTCCTGCTGCTGCACCTTGGGGGCTGCTCGCTCACTGAGTCAGTTCATGGACAGGGGCTGGGGCTTTGCAATATTGATTTGAGCCTGCGTGGACAAAGCCCTCACTTTGGCCTGTTGATGGAAGTACATGATGCAGAAATCACTGCAATTGTACCAAATTATTTTGCTGCAGGATTTGCTAGGCATCTGCATTTGGGAGCAGAGTGGGACTGTGATGGGATAGTGGGAAGGAGATGAGTTCTATAGTGAAAGCAGAAATGCAGCTGGGGAATAACAGCTGGAATAGAACACAATAAACATGGACTGAGAAAAGGTCCAGAAGCTAAAAGGAAAAACAACAGCAGAAATCATTGATGAGAAGGGAAGGAAAGCTTGAGTGGATTAAAACCAGGATGTTATTGAACAATCTGACAGCAGAGCAGAGGAGGAGAGTGACACACAGGGGAACAACTCACCAAGGGAATCACCCCTGTGTTACAGCACTGCGGGCCAGCAGCGGTGCCAAGGCAGTGGGGCCAGGCAGACGAGGGAATGAGGGGTGGGTGCAGGGAATGAGGGGTGGGTGCAGCACTCCCTTGGCCAGGCACCACCTGCCCTGCTGCTGCAGGCACTCCCAGGTGTGGCACCACCTTCCCTGGCTGCAGCACGGGTGGCCTGGGCTGTCCCCAACACGTGTGTGCCAGCTCAGGGACATGCCAGGACAATGTGTGGTATCATCAGTGTGTGCCTGTGGACCTCTGAACAGGCAACAGGAATAATTTAAAGAGATGACAAGACATTTTTATTATTCCCATGAAATTATATGGAATTATAGTTTTAAATGAAGGTGACAGGTTTAAAATGTGTATTTTAGAGCAAGATTAATGCCTTGTGCTTTGTTGAGTTGGAAAGTTGGCCAGTGGGGGGGGTCACCTCCCACTGTGTGTCCACCTTGAGACAGCCAGTGTGGAATCCTGTGCTGTGCCCTGAGTGCATGGAGCACACTGCTGGTGCCCAGCTCCATGCCTGGCAGCTGTGTGCTGCTGGCACATCTGGCACAGCCTACACAGGTACTGTTCCTGCTGTGTGTGGGAGCAGAGGGGGTCCTGTGGCACTGCCAGACTGCGTCTTATGGGGCTGGCTGGTGTGCTGGGGCAGGGCTGGGGCAGGGCTGGGGCAGGGCTGTGCCCGTGGCCCCCGGGCAGGCAGGTGCCACAGAGGGCTCATGGCAGGCGGGCACATGCACAAGTACTGACTGTGTTTTCTCTTGTTCTCTCTTTTCTGCCCAAGGTTTGAGCATCCGAGGAGCCCAGGAGGAAGACCCTCCCGATCCTCAGCTAATGAGACTAGACAATATGCTTCTGGCAGAAGGAGTCTCAGGTCCGGAGAAAGGTGGGGGATCGGCGGCAGCAGCTGCAGCCGCAGCAGCCTCTGGAGGGTCTTCAGATAACTCTATTGAGCACTCAGATTACAGAGCCAAATTGACCCAGATCAGACAAATCTATCACACAGAGCTGGAGAAATATGAACAGGTCAGACATCAGTCTCTCAGTTGTTCGTGTACCTGACACTGCTCTCCTCTGCTTGCCAGTGCCCACCACTGCCCACTCTGGACCACAACCCTTCCTCCCCTTCCCCACCCCTCTGCCCAGAGAGAGCCACCATGGCAGTCTGTTGTCTGTCGGGCTCCAAGGAGCTGCTGGCCGGAGCCAGGACGCATGTCTTGCATGTCTGAGTGTTTTCTGTTGTCTGTAACTGCACAAGAGGAGCACCCAAGCCCGTGTTTCTCCCCTTTGCCCAGCCCACAGAAGGCAGAGAGGAGGAGAGAGTCTGTCACTCAGTGCCACCCTCTGCCCTGGTGAGGTCTCACACGGCTGGGTCTGGCAAGCTGGGGGGCACAGGCAGACAGGGGCTGCTTTGGCCATCTCAGCCCACAGGCTGCTGGAGCAGGTGGCAGGATACTCTGGCACAGACTTGGCCACAGCAGGTCAGCTGGAGCAGGTCTGAGGAGAGTGGGCAGTGAGGCGTCAGCAGAGCACCTGGCCCAGGCTTGGGGACAGAAACTGGGGAAATCCTGGTTCAGGCGGATGCCAGCACAGTGTCTTTGTCTGGAGTGAAGAGCATGCTGCAGAGACCTGTGGGTTTGTGTTCACCCCTGGGACCTGGTGACCCAACACACTGGGCACGCCGGTGGCACTGAGAACGTTTGCCACGTGCTGCCAGGTGCCACCAGCACCGTGTGTCTCAGGTGCCAGTGGCACTGCCTTGTCTGTGCTGTCTTTTCCACTGTGTTGTTCAAGTGGAGAACAAATACCAGAGCAAACACGTGTCATGGTCTGTGTATGCATCTGCTGTTCTCCCCTGACCCCAAGGCCAGCAGCCCTGGTGAACCCCGAGCCCTCCTCGCCCTGCCAGGTGCAGCTGTAGTGTGGGATGGGGTGGCTGTGGCATGAACGTGTCTCCCACAGGCACAGCACACAGGCTGCAGGCAGATCTGGGCCACAGAGGCAGCAGCTCTGTGCTCGCAGCCGCTTCCTGGCAAACATCCTTGGACTCTAATAAGTTTAATGACGTGGGGGAAGCAGGAGCGTTTTTTGCCCTGTAGCTCCATTTACAAAGGTTTCAGCTGAAATGTCACAGCCATCCGTCCACACCACAGGAAATTTTGGAGGATGCTCAAATGCTGCTGGAGCAGGAGAGAGAGGTAGAGCAGAGGATGAGACATGCATGCTTCCCCACGGATCCTGACACCCAGCCACGTCTGCTCAACAGACATATGATGATTTCCCCAGCCTGGCAGCAAACTGTCTCCTGCTGGTTTGTCTCACTGCAGTGCCCGAGAGGCAGCCAGGGCTTGGCATCTGAGCCTCTGGCGCCACAGGTTCTGGGAGGCAGGAGCTCCTGCAGCGGGGAGCCCGTGCTGGGCACCTGCCCGTGGTGCAGAGCCGCTCCTGCCATCCTGCCCGCACAGGCAGCCCCGTCCCACGGCAGCAGGAACCAGAGCGCCTTCCTGGAGACATTTCCAGGCAGGCTTTGATCCTGATATTTGTTGCCAGTCAGGGGAATGCACTCAGGAAAAAAAAAAAAGGGAAAGAGAAATGGAAAGTGTGTCACGCCATCACCCAGTGCTGCCTCGCCGGGCGCCGGGAGAAATGGCCACGCACAGGCAGCGCCTTCCATAATTTACAGCTCCTATAACGGAGATGACATATTGAAAGCTATCTGCTGTAATTACACTGAAATACATTTTTTGCTGTAGGCAAAAGTACTGTAAGGGTCCCAGGCCTCCTGGAGCAGCTGGGAACCCACTTCCCAAGTTCACAGATGTCTCCTGAATTCACCCCGAATTGGGGCGAGGCGTGGCAGCTCAGAAGCCACCGCCAGCCTCACAGAGCGCTGGCTGCCACCCTGCCCCTCAGCATTGTTTTGGGCCATTTCCTCTCTTTTTCATGCGCACTCGTGATGAAGCACTGAGGCAGCAGGAGCATCCCTGCTCCTACAAGGTTTCTGAGCAGGTTAACAAGGCCATCACTTATAACCTGACATTATTAATAATGTCTCAGGCACCAAGCAGAGGCCTGAAAAATAGTCCTGGAAAAGGGATCAAGTAGCTTGGACGCTATAAATAAACAAGAGAAACAAGACAAAGCATCAGAGTCTTCTGAGCTTCCTCCCACTGTGCTGTGTGAGGCAGCTCTGCATAGGGGAGGTGCTGGTGGAGATGAATTAAACCCAGGCTCTCCCAGCAGTTGTAGCCAAACCAAGTCTCATCAGGCAAGCTGAGTAAAGTCAGAGAAAGGTTTTTGCTTCTTGAAAGCAAGAAACTAATTATTGCTTTTCAAAGTCCAGTTTTTGAGATGAAATCTCTTATAGAAAAGACATACCTGAAAATATTTCTAATGCAACAGTTGCCAATTTTATTGTACTTTAAAATTGAATACCTGGAATCTGAAAAGAAGGGGGCTTGTGGCAAACTGCGTGCCTAGAACACCCAGCCAGTGCCAAATTCTTGGGTTCAGCTGTATTTTGGAACAATCAGAGCTGCTGCCTGATCTCAGGGGGAGAGCTGCTGCATTCTGGTGCCCGTGTCCCCTTCCCTTCTGTGCAACCTTTCCTGAGTGAGCCAAAGCTGGTGTCATTGATCAGAGGGCTGGGCCTGAACTTCTGCATGCTCGGGGTGTGCCCTGGTGAAAGAAAGAACGTGCTGGTGGGCAGTGAGGGTGAGCCATGTCCAATTCCTGGAGCCTGGGGAGCCCTGGCACAGCTGGGCTGGCAGGGGCTGGTGAGCAGTGAGGGTGGGCAATGCCCAACC